AAAAGTCTCGTGCCTGCCTCCTTTCGGAGAGGCAATGCAGGTTTAAAATCTTCAACAATCGCTCATGGCTGAAATAAATTCGCCTGTTAAAATAACGATCGTAAAGTAGTCGAACAAACTTCTTCTGTACATTTTCAAGTTCATTCGAGTTTGTCTGGTTTAAACGATTCCAAACAACGCTAGAGAAATCCAGTTTAGACAGGATGAGGGATCGGTACAAATGCAAAAAGCAAGAATATCCTCTAAAGTTTCGAGTCATTCTGGTAATTGCGCCCAAAGTACGGTAACATGTATTGCTCAAGTATGCCACATGATCAGAGAATTTAAATTCACTGTCCAAGAAAACTCCTAGATCACGTACAACTGAGACGCGCTCAATCGAGCACTTGTTCAAAGTGTAGTCAAAGGTGTTAAAGAAATGTTTTCTCGAAAAAGATATGACTTTTGTTTTAGCAGGGTTGAGAACCAACTTGTTGTCCTTGCACCAGTCTGCCAATGCTGTAATATCTTGCTGTAGTTTATTGCACTCAGAAATGTCCACAATAGCTCGGAAAAGCTTAACGTCATCGGCAAATTGTAACATTTCCGAGTGATTTATGCATGAGCAAATATCGTTCACGAAGATGTTGAAAAGCAGAGGCGATAGGCTAGAACCCTGCGGGACTCCCGATTTGGAGAGGTACGCGGTTGATTGTGCACCACCGTATGAAACAGAATTCCATCTGTCATGCAGGTAGCTCTGGATCCATTGCAGATAGCTCTGAATCCATAATAGAACTGCAAGCATCAGTACAATGAAATCTAACCTTGATCTGCCATCCCTAACATCCCGCCGCAAAATCTCTCGTCTTTGTCTCTTTCACAAACTGTTTCTTCATCCCTCCTTGCGCGCCGAACATATTTTACCCCCCCAATACATCTCATCTAGATTAGATCATGTTCATAAAGTCGGGATTCCATCGTGTAGGACTAATGCTTTTTTTCAGTCATTCTTTCCTCGCACATCAGTGGAGTGGAATGGCCTTCCCGCCCCGACAGCAACAATCAAAGATCCCCAGCAGTTCAAGAACGCCATAGCTAACATTGTATAAATAAGAGTCAATTTACTGTACTAATAACCACTGCATTTTTTAACTTTATACTTATACATTGTACCCACTCCCCTCTCTAATGCCTTTGGCCCTGAGGGTATCTGAAATAAATAAATAAATGAAAGCGTGACGTTTTGCATTGCTTAATGTCAAAACTCAGACTGCGTTTTTTGGTCTGAACATATGTTTCGGCATCGTCATTCGCTGAGCTGCCTCCTTAAGTTGCGGTGATTGGCTCTCCGAGTTTTCTGCGGGAAAGTAGACGCACGGGCTTTTTTTAGAGTGTGGCAATCAGTTTAAGACCACGAGTGAGATCCCCATCATGCTCTAGAAACCATGCTACCTTTAAGGCGATAAAATTGGAAGCATTCTTTTTAAACATCCTATATTAAACGTGCACTTGGCGGTCCTTGCAAGTCATGTTGGGGGAAGATCGGCGGCCGTGTGAGCTAGCGCACACCGGCTCGGAGCACGTGGAGCGAAAGCTTGCGCTGCAGAACCTAAATACCCTGGATTTAATCCCCACCCCTGCCCGTTTCGATCTGGATGAGGATCGTACCGGCGTGTGTCGTGTATCACTACCTCGTGATGCACGTTAAAGACCCCAGGCTAACGGTTGTATTGCACCGGCTAAATTTCTCATCTCCAGTTGAGAGAAGAGTCGCCCGGTGGTGACCAACTTCCGGCTGTATAAACATACATACAACGCAATTACAAGTCATGTCCGGTTTTTGAAGCGCCGGCTGCATGACCGGTTTGGATTTAGAAAGCAGAGCCTGAGAATACACTGAGGGGTGCCATTTTGTACCGCAAATAGTGATTCGTTATGAGTGTTTCTTTCGGTTATTTAAAACAAAAAGTTATTGATAAATATTTCTTTCCACATTAACAGCTGTTATAGGCTTCCCCGGGGCTTCGAAGGTCGAAATGATATACCGGGCGTCCGCGAGAAATACAAAAACACAATTGTTCACATCGCAAAAATAATCTAGACACCGTGGAGAGCTCAAACTTCCTACGCTAAAAACGCGTTCCACCGCCGCACTGCTTGGAAGCCAGTGCTGAATTTTAAGAACACGCTTTTCATCTGCGGCATGCGCTTGAGACAATCCACACTTCTTGTCGGAGCAAGTTAGGTGTACTGAACCAATTCCTGCTCCCATGAAGAAGTTGAGAACGATGTTTCGAAGTTAAAGAAATGCTCGCTGTCCTCATCGTCACCACTTTGTTCGCCAGGCAACGCTGTTTCCATATTTGATGTTTGCATAAGTTCGTTCTTTAGATAATCCCAGTCCCGCTTCCGTTCCGATTCATTGTTTATCCAAGCTACACTCTAAAAAATGCCTGCGCGTCTACTTTCCCGCAAAACACTTGAAGAGCCAATCTCTACGATCTACGAATCAGCACAACGAATTTCGCGGCGGAACATCTGTTTAGACCTAAAAATTATGTCTGCGATGTGGCATTGCGCACTGCAAAGCGTCATGGTTGCATTGCGTAATGCCACAGCGTAGACTTAATTTTGAGGTATAAACGGATGTTCCGCCTCATCATTTGTTGAGCTGATTTTGTAGATCGCAGAGATTGGCTCTTTGAATGTTTTGCGGGAAAGTAGACGCGCAGGCATTTTTTAGAGAGTACCTTAGAGTTTGAATGGCACACGGCAGATATTATCAAATGTTTTCTTTTTTTTAATTTCATCTCTGCAAACCTCTTATCCGTCGCAGCGATTAATCTATCGACCACCGGGCGATAGTACCTTAAGTCCTCCGTCAGCAATCCGGACATGCGGAACGGCATCGCTAATCTACCGTTCGCTCAATTGAACACCGCCGCTTGCTAAAGTTCGTTCGATGGAACATCATGGGCGGGGCTAGGTTCGCTAAAATACAGATACAGGTACCGAGAAATGAAAGTACCTAGATTTGTACTTCAGGTACGACAAAAGAACCTAAATACCTATTTCCAGGTACCTATGTACTTTACAACCCTCTTAAGGGGGTAGGGCCGCCATCGCAATGTTGAAAAGCATTATTCAGAGGACAGAGCCGTGCGGGACACCCACGAGGTTGACCTTGGACTCACTGCAGCAGGCTCCACAGCGGACCAAAAACGCTCTGCCTTCGTGAAAAGTTTTAATAAATTTTGGCGATCTCCCAGTGACGCCAGATTCCTGTATGATTGATCAGTGTGGGAAGCATTCACTGTGCGTGATTTGTTTAGTCAGTTATAGCAAACGTATAAAGGTGACGATGCAATTTTCGACACCACTTGTTGACGACATTAAATCGTAGCGTCGCCTTCGGCTGTACTTAAAGTAAACAGTAGTATATTATAGTATATTATAGTATACCAAAGAGGCATTTGTAAGACGTATACTTCGTGAACTAGAGCAGGAAGTTCGAATTCGTGTTTCTGATGTTCATTTACTCTTGTCGAAAATGCCCCACTTGCAATCTTGGAAGTCTCTGCATGGTGCCGAGCGGTCATTTCCAATTGTTAAAATATTAATGGGAAACGGGATGTTTCTGTCGTGCTTCCCTGCAGACTACGGCAAAATGCGAAGAGATCTCGAAGTTTCTTTTATGAAGGTCATGCTCCACTGATTTAATTGAAACGAACCTCTCGTTCTCTCACACAGCCCTTGGTGGTAGCGGAAGGAGCCCACTTTGCTTATCTGTCCTTTGCTAAACGCTGTTCCCTGTTCTCTGGCGTCTCATTGCGATGTGTGCAAGAAATTTGGCGATTGACCGTAGACATTATTTTTCTAAAACTGTGTAGTTGCGTTCCGCTGAGGAAAGCGGCCTGCTGGCATAGGCTATGACGTGGTCCTGGTTGTGTTGGTATTGCGCGACGACGGCTCCAACGCCGTGCCCACTGGCATCCGCACTCATTCATGTAGCTGCTGAATCGTCAGAACGGCCGAGGATAGGACGTGGCGCAAGAGCAGCCTTCAAGTGTGGAAACGATATCTGCTGTTCATTGTGCCAGATGAAATACTGTTTTCTGTTTGTTTGTTTTTTATTGAGGAGCATGGTGAGTGGTTAAGCGATCGAGGAAAATTGTACAATAAAGCGTCGGAAATATGAACAAAGGCATTAGATACTTGCCACAAGGGCCTCTTTACGAAGTGCGTTCTCTGTTGAAACCGATATGGAATCCCTGAACAATTGCGGACACAAGCGAGGGCTAGCGTTCGATCGCACCTCGGCTTCGCGAGCCCTCGTACACAGGGTGTCGGAACCACCCGCTGGCGTCTCTTTCACGCTCCGCGGTGTCCGTCGGGGAATGCAGTGTTATCGTACATAGTAACGACCATTCCACACACCTCGCCGTCGGCGCTATGGCTGAGTGTCCGGCTCTTCATGTCCCGGGTTTGATTCCCTTTGGTGAACATTCGGAGCTTTGTTCTCCCTTCTCAATTCATACACTTACTACTCTCTCCCCTATACATTTCGTGTAACTGAGCAGAATCTTGCCGAAGCGGTTGCCAAAGGAAATTTTTCAAAAAAGCAACGTTATAAGTTAAAATATTCGCATTGAACGATATAGTGGCTACGTCGGTTGACTGCGCCGGTGGGTTTTTTCCTATGCATTAGAAATTGCGTCATCTTAAGCGCACAAATAAACAACAACTGAATAACTCTCGGCTCACGATTCATTGAACCGGGGCAGAATTCCAGTGAGGCGAACGGAAATACGAAACTCTCCGTACGACGCATTTGGTTTTACGTAATCCTGCGAGGGTGGGTTGCATGCAGGGTGATATTAAAACTTAAAACGTCACATTGTTATAGTAGAAATTGTCTCGATACTTTATAAACATATTGTGGGCGCACCGATCGAGTTCCATTGGCGCCTCGGGGTTTATGCCGCGGGTGTCAAACTTCGACCGGACGTCGTACAACCATGATTGTCCAAACACTGCTGTGTGGCTTCATTTTCTTTACTGCAGCTTTCGTAAGTCGAATCAACTACTTTTATGCTCCATTCCTAATGACGCTTCAATTTCAACCGCGAAGCGGATCCGCTCTTCATTGTCATTTGCGCGTGAATTTGTACTCTTTCTTTAAGCGACCGTGCTCGCAACCGCTTTGCGGATGCTGTTCAGACGCCAATGTAAATACGCCGTTAAGACTTCAGGTATTACGAGCATTCTATTGCGTATGTTCATAAAAAAAAAGACAAAAATTACTTGGCATTCGACAACTCCGATGGTAGAAATTTAAAAATCGAACGGCATTATTTTCGCATGACTACTCGAGTTGAATTTTAAACTTAAATATTCGCAGAGCACTACTTTGCAATATACTTACTTACCTAAGTGAATATAGCGCCCACTTTCACCAAATATTTGATAAGATTCTAGAATTCGACAAATATTATACCATCTAGATTGTAGATCATAAAAGATCTAGAGACAAACTTGCGAAATTTTTAAGACAAACAAAGTGAACGACGAATCTTGCGGGATCGGGTTTGAATGATTAATAGACGCCGACAGAGCATCCAGGATGATGTGCGGATGAGTGGGCCGTTTTTGTTCACGCACATTAGACCCTTTTCAGAAGTGTAGTTCCCTTATGTACAGGCTTTGCTAATTATTCGAATCCGCCATTCTTTACGCACGTATTCCGAGCATGCATTTAACACGATGTTTGCGTCAGCATTTGCCAGGGACTCCTTTTCCAGGCACAGGCTTCGTACCAATGTTGCTCGATGAACTTTTGGAAACGGTCAGTTCGGTGGAGGAAGTAAACAAAAAACTTCAGGAGAACCGACGCCTTACAGCTTTTTATCTCACAGCGTAGACCCCTGATGTTTCAAAATAATCGCTCCACAGAATAGTTACAAAAAAATCTTTAAAAAGCTAATCGTTTTTCCAGTGAATATTCAAGAACCTTGCTCGGAACTCAGACGGCTGACTTCTATCATGAATGTATCCACGCCCTTGTGCCACAGCATGACAAAAGCCTAAAAGGAGCCCGCAAATGAAAATTCAGCTTGTGACCTATTTTAGGTATTACCTCATTGATGGTTCGGTCTACACGGGGAACAAACAGTAGCCACGAAATATTAGCACTTCATATTTTAACTCAAAATGACAAAAACAGCTGAACGTTTCCTGGCGAAACAGTGTGTAGAAGACGCGCCCACCACTGAAATCACCGTTAACTATTTGGTGATTGGTAGTCGGCAAGTGCCGTTAACATTTACTTTGTTCACGCTAAATAACGTCTGCCGGTCCGCAAATCATCGTTATTTTTTCGAGAAAGCGTTCTATTCGGCAAGAAAGATGGAAAACAGAGAAGAATATCATTCAAATGTGCAGGAATAAAGGGAAAAAAAAAACAAGACACGCCCGCATCACCGCGGCGGAACCAACCGTCGCGCATGCGCAGTAGTGCTGCGATCGCGTTGAGCTCATTCAACGCTGCCCAGCTAGCCCTAGCGCGGGCGCCCATCGTCCCATCGGGAATCAGCGTGCCCGGCTTTCACTTCAGCGATTTGTATCTGCCGTGTGTCGTGTGCTATTCTCGCCGTTCAGTCTGGCGCCTTCGTGTTTCTGTGTCGGTGTGCGCAACGTCTGTGCGCTTGATCGGGCACGTCTGTTCCTGGACGGCTCTACGCGCTATCCCGAGAAACTTAGAAGGCCTTACGAGTCGGACGCGATATCACGGGGTGTTAGCCAAAGCTAGAAGCTCGATAACGACCCAAAGGCAGACTTAATAAGAATCCAGGACGACCTCGTGGTTGAGATACGTATGATTATGTGCTATTCGCATCTCGCCCGCAGTCATTTCCTTTCGAAACAACCAACGCCGAATGGTTGCAGTAAAAACAAGGTTGGAACCCGGAATGTTTATTTGGGGTGGGCGACAATTTTGAACACGTAAACGGCGCAATTTAAAGATTATCCGATCCCTCTATGTTATACAGAAATCAACGCGGAAGGTTTCTGCGAAACAAGAGTGCACCAAATTCGTCAAAGCCGGCCAACGGATGCTTTGACGGACTCAACACTCTAATTTCCTATTTATTTATTTTTTTCGCGGATTTTTGTGTGACATTCGATAAAAAGTTTAAGTGAAGCTGAAAGACGGTGAGAGTGCAGGCGAGCTGGTGGTAGCTAATCATGTCGTATTACACCTGAGACTGCGGTGGAAGAAATCGGAAGAACTTTCAGTAGAAGGAACAGACACAGAGAACGTCTCAAAAGAGACGTTCTCTGTGTCTGTTCCTTCTACTGAAAGTTCTTCCGATTTCTTCCACTGCAGTCTCAGGTGTAATACGACATGAAGCTGAAAGAGTTCTTTAAATAAAACGAGTTAGAAGTGAATTCCAGAGCATTTTTATCTTGTGAATCTGAATAGCAAGTTCGTTTTCCACGGAAATGTAACTAAACGCGAGAAAACACGAAGAACCTCCGACCAGTCGTTGCGCTATAAAAGGACCTTTCGGGCGTCAAGCGTGTGGGCGTCGCGCGCAATCGCAGGCTAGTCTAGTGCCTTCTCCTGCACTGACACCAGCCGTGACATCTTCCGACTTATTTTCTTTTTTTAACAGCAGTGCGTGTGTATAGCCTTCATAGGCGCTGAAGACTCGTGAGAGCGGAGATTCCGAAATCTCCTTTTTTCACGTAACGCTCCGGGAAGAAGGATCATTATCGGCACATCGAAAATTATTTTTTGCGGTCTTCGTTCACCGAATTTAAAAATAATCCAGATATTCGTGATCCTGAAGCCCAAATGAAAACGATACAGGTCCTCTTACCCAAATAGAGATACGCTTCTGTTTCTTTTTAATGCTTATTTGCACTTGTTATTCCCAACATTCGCTCTTATTTGTGTATTTTTTTACGAACCTATCGGCTGCAACTGCCTACTCTGAATCGCGGCTTCGATCCCATCGCGCTGTATTCTATGACGGGGTGCGACGAAGTGGAAGACAAACAGCGTTTTACGCCTGCGCGCGTTGGGTTCGCCCAGACCGAAGTATAAACATCCCAAGTCCATTGGTAACGCCGATCGTGTTCAGGGCCTGAAGTTACGACGATGCAAGGGGCTTTAGCGACGATGCCACGATGCGAACACGTAGTCGGCAAGGCGGACATGAGCCTAACCCGCAGCCATTTTTGCTCCAACCCTCCACTCATTTAATTCTTCCGACTGTGCCACCGAAGAAAAAAAAAATATTGCCTCTTCTTCTAATTTTAATTCGCTCATAACTCCCAAGATAATTAGAATTTACGGAAATACATTTTTTCTCCATGTTACTACGTTCAATGAGGTCCGTTTCCGCGCAAATACCGAACCAGTTCGAAAATCACTGGAGAGTAACATAAACACCTAAAGAAATTTCACTAAACATTCGTTAAGGTATGCAAACTCTATTTAAGAAATAAAGCCACGTGCGTCTTTGGAAGTTTCTTATTGCAACACGAAACATTTATTCTTGATATACCACTGAAATATCTGAATTATTAATATCATAAACAATAAATTCCTGCCATGTCCTTAAAATACTGTATATAACGTTCTGTGGCCACCACAATATGTATTTTATCATCAATTTCAGGCTTCGAATGTCGAAGACGAGTCGAATGGTGAAGGTGTTGGAGGTGAGTCGGCTTTTTATCCTCATATTTTTTTCAACTAGATAATGTGCGTGACGCGATTTTACTTTGATTTTTTCTTTTGCGTATAAAAAGAGGCACACATCTCCTTAGCGGTGCACCTTCGACTATTTCAGTAAAAAATTACGATGACATTTTCACACAACATTCACTTACAACCTAAAAACGCTGGGTGTGACCGATTATGTTCAAGCTTCCTGATTCGTGGTTCGTTGTCCACCGTTTTTATATTCTCATTGGCAGCTGAGGATTTGGGAGACACTCAGAACTTGCTGCGCCCTGTGTTTTTTAAGGTGTAAGTGGCATGCAGCTTGACAACTGGCTGCATTGTGCCTTATGGAATGTTATTTTTTTTTTTTTTGGTTAGAGTAAACACCTACATAAAGTGGCTGGAAGCTCGCAGCACCCAGCTGCTGTCCGCGGGAGCTTGAAAGTATGTTAACAAATTTTCAAATACTGAGCAAGGTGTTTCTTTTTAATAATGTTTCTTTTTTGTAATAGATAAGTCGTGTATTTCTGTAAACATGGTATGATTCAGGCGGGTGTGACGTTACGTTACTCGGTCCTGATTAATACATAACGTAATGTTGAACGGGTTTGCTTATTAATTATGCTTTGTTTCAGCATCGGTGAGAGAACAGTCAAAGTTTACGTGAAACGGTGATACATATTCACAGAAGAGCAAGAAAAAGCGCATAGTCACGGCACATTCACAGCATTTTATTGATTTAGCAGGGATTAACATACAGAGAAAAGAAAGACCAACGCCGTGACGTTGCGTTTTAGATCCTTCTTGATTGGACTCTGTCTCGTAGCACTCTCACCTACAGCGAAACGTTGTGCAGTATTCGAAAATATTGATAAACCCTGCGTGAATAAAAAAGTTCAAGAAAAAACAAAAGAAATGACAGGACCATGCCTTCACAACTGCAAGTTTATTCAGCAAAGAAGATATACATGCACACTGCACTTCTACTTCGCATGAGCGTGCACATTCTTAAGGTCATTGACAACCTCCGGAACTCAGGACGTGGTGGGTACAGAACAACTTAACATCGCTTCGCAACCAATCGCATAGCGACGTTAACTGATAACAACGCCAAAGGAAGAATCACGAGCCGTGGACATAATGGGCGCGTCTTAGGTTTATTAAGCAGTCGCTGACTCTATACTTGGTTTCAGCTGAGGTCCAAGCGCGGCCGATGTTATGAGCCGGAGGGCCAATCAAACAGCGAAACAGGCACAACGTCATGGCGTGCCCTCTGCAGTTGATAGGACTAGCCGGTATTCGCTGTCTCTCTGTGCGTGCTCCTCCGCCAGCTATTCCTATCAAGCGCAGAGAGCACGCCATGGCGTTACGCATTTTGCGCTGTATGATTGGCCCTTCGGCTCATAACATCGTCCGCGCCCGGACATCAGGTGAAACGAAGTATAGTCACTCTTCGAACGCGTTCCAGCATCTAGTGCCGGCGTCCGCCTTAGAGCTAGAGTTCTACGCTTCGACGTCCCCGAAGGCTGGCTTACACAAGTGGAACCCTCCCTTTTGCTTAACTAGTATGCGTCAACTAGCTAGCATTTGCGACGGTGGGTCTCTGTTTTAAAGATAAGGCCGTGTCGCCGGCTCCTGCCCTTTGCCTCCCTTTGTTATCGTTACTCTTCGCGTTGTTTTTACCATGGACGTTAACCAAGTTGCACAACATTACTTTCTGGTATGAATATTTAGTTTATTTGTGTTTTATTGCTCTTTCTATCGTTGATAATAACATTTTATATTACGAAACACGTGTGAGCAATTTAGAACTGACCACCTCGACCTGCTTGCTCCCTTTGCTTCTCTCTGCAGAGACCACGACGAAGGTCTTCGATCTCGAAGATGCATTGAAGAAGTTTGTTCATATTTTTCAAAAGGTGTACAACGTCCGAGTGAAGTGGACTGATATGAATTCGAGTAGTACGGAAATGAAAAACCTTTTCAAGACTAAAAGGTAACTAGAACTTAGCCTTACCTCTCACAAAATTGGAAGTATATTACGACCTTTTTACTCCGCGCAATGTCTCTTTTTTCGAAGCCGTCCTTACACCGCGACGCTATCAATATAGCGTTACTACATGTCGTTTTTTATCTTTGATATTCACATCGAGGGATTCTGCTGCAAACCCGAAGCACATGATTTTTCTACACCGCTGAAAACAACAAAAAGAAACACAAAAAGTGATATGCTAAAGCTCTCTAATATGAGGTAAGACAACATTTTAAGGGAAATAATCAGTTCAGTTGAATAAAAAAAAAACGCTAAAGGAAGTGCTTAAAGGCTGACAGACCTGGAACTAAAACACGTTTAGCTGCTATAAACTGCTAAGAAATGAAATACGTTACGACTTGTAATTATTAAAGGACGATAATCAGACAGTGCATTTCACGTTAGTTTTGTCTTGCCCACCACCTGCCAGCGAGAGTATGATAGCTTCACTTTCACTGATCAACGGCTTATTGATTACTCGTTACTTTGAAAATGTAGCTCCGTTTTCCTTTAAGCTGAGAGTGGAAGGTTCGTCTTCAGCGCGATTTCTTCGCTTGCTAACACGAGTGTGAGCGCGAAGGCACGCGGAACCAAAGCACTGCACAAGCCAGTGAGCTCGCGCTGAAGGCGGAGCTCCTATTCTCAGCTTAAAGGGACACTGACAGGGTATTTAAACTCGCTAAGGTTTTTATTTGTACTTGACATATGAGAGCCCAATTACCCAGAACACAATTTGCGGATCGAAATGTGTGTTCTTTCCTCCCGAAACCCGCGTCGATCAGGAACTGGTCGGTTTAAGTCGGGCTCACTCTTTTCTCCATTGTCACGGGGCGTAATCTATTCACCGCATTCGGTGGGAGTTGGTACCACGAGGGCGCCACAGTATTTGGTGCCCCAGTAGACTTCCGGTAGTGTATTTATTTCTTCTTCAGTAACACACAGCGATCGTAAAATAAGATTTCCCTTCGGAGAGGTACGTGTGATAGGTTTGTAAGAACCTACGCGCTTTGTAGAACGTAGTACAAATAACAAAAGGATGTGTGACAAGAGGAAAAGAAGAGGAAAACCGGAAGCGCGCAGGGGTCCGCCGATAGTGGGCGGCAGCGAGCTTGTTTGCAAACAAACATTGGTGAATATTTATTGCATTTATTTATTGTTTAGCAACCACTAAATAAAATCATAGTCCTGGGTCATCGAACACGCACGCTCAATATTAAAAATACAAAAGTAGTGTGATACCCATTTTCGTGGCTCATAAAAAGTCGCAAATACGTTGATTTAAAAAAAAAACAGTTGCACAGCCACGTGACATTCGCCAACTCTCTCGTTCTCTCTATATATTCTTCCTCCCCAGTCCAGTTTCCGTTTCGGTTTTGAGCAGTTGCATTTTTTTAACTTTATTAGAAATATTCGTCATGCTGTAGCAAAATATTGATTGGGTAGTTTTCTGACACCACAAAAAATCAAATGGCAAAACAAAAAAACCGTATCTCCACGTGGTGAATGATGTTGATTGGGGCGAAGCTCTGGTGGTGCTTGTCTGCGTAGACGCTGAGCCGCAGCGTGCCGAGCCTTTCGTTCGTTTTCATCCATGTCACGCTGCGGTCAAATGCTCAAATGCGTATATAACCACGTTCCACACCACACATTCTCTTTCTGACATGGATGAAAACGAACGAGAGGCTCGGCATGCTGCGGCTCACCGTCTACGCAGACATGCACCACCAGAGCTTCGCCCCAATCAACATCATTCACCACGTGGAGATGCGGTTGTTTTTTTGTTTTTTTTGCCCTACACGAGCACGGGAGCACGTGCTCACGTGCTCGTGATTACATGAGCGTGTGAGCTCACGAGCAGGAGCAGGTGCACCCGACGGCGGACGGACATACGGACATGGCTAGCCCCTAAAGCATGTTTGGGGGTGTCAGTGTCCCTTACTATAGGACGTATTCACTGGACGCCATATTTGAGGGCGATGTTTAGAGCGCATGCTCAGAACGAGCTCACATCAATAGCCTGCTAAGACCGGCAACCTTTGATGGTGCTAAATGCACGCTCCTAAAGGACTGCGGAAGCTCCCCGTCAGCACGCGCGCAGCAGCGGCGCACACGGAAATGGCCGCCAGTGAATACTCCCTATTGGCAATGTGAGCGATCGAAAGCGTCGCTGTCGTCGGCCCACCACAATTGGCCGAAGTCTGACTATGACGTCAGCGAAGGCTTTCTCATCGACGGAAATAAGAGGAATGTAAGAACTTCAATTCTGAAGGTGTTGGCAGTGTTTCTTTGAGAGCGTTTTGATTTCAGGCTTCCATCATGCCCATTACAAACACCATCGATCTTGTTGTTCGTAAGGTAATGACGTCACGAAAGGTAACCGAACGAGGGCGCCACCGAGACATCTCGCCGCTAATAGTCCCCGACAAAGTGAAAATGCGTGTCTTCTGAATGCCCAGGGTTCAGTAAAGTCTTCCTGACTTTCGCCCTAATTTGGCTGCGTGCGCGTGCTCTAGGTGCACGAGACGGCGAAGCATTGTCAAGGGTAGGAATCTCGCGCTGGAGGTCGGACTTCTCATGCCATTTCCTACCCCAGGTTCAGCACAGTTCTTCGGGCAACATTAAAATGTTTTGTCTTGACTATTTGGGCCTTAAAACCCCGCAAATAACCAAGGTACAGCCAAACTTGACCTCCTTTGGCCGAAGTCTGCGTTTCTTGGCCCACATTCTCCAAACAAGTACAGAAGTTAGGCTTTACTGCCGGTTGTATGGATGTCATCTGGCATCTCTGACCCAAAATCGTCAAACAAGTGTCAGACATACTGGCTTCACTTCTGAGTTGGTTTTAATGTGGCAACTTTGGGCCCAAATTTCCAAACAAATGCCAGCCTTTTTTGGCTTCGGTTCATATCTGGCATTTCTCGGCTCAAGTCTGGCACTTGGGACGCAATTATGTGGAGAGTAGACACTAAAAAACAAAAATGGACTGGTGTTAACTATCGTCTTCTACCAAAACCGCACAAGGCCCAAGTTAGGCCCCTGAGATTGCAAAGCTTGTTTTGCGTTTCTCTGACGTGCTACCTGGTGCCGTTTTTACCTTGCCCATTACTACATTTGGATCATTTTAATCACGCCTTTTATTTTAAAGATTTCAGGTAACAGTCGAAAGGGGCCCTATAAAAATTGGTGAGGCAACAACAATCAGCAAAACCCGCACTCTCCTCTACGCAAATCTCTATGACAATGAAGCGAATGCAAGTCAAACGTATACAGTCACGCATTCTACCAGTCGCAAAGAAAAATCGTCTTACACGGTGAAACTAGGATTCAGCCTTGGCCTTGAGGTGTCGGGAGGTATTTCATTTAAAAAAATATTCGGGCTGAGTGGCAGCGTCGGACTTAAGTTCAACAGAGAAGCTGGCAACACAGACACTCAAACGAAACTCAAGACCTTTTCGGTCGGCACGAGTGTCACCGTTCCTCCAAATAGGACCGTGCAAGTGAAGTGGTACGCCACCACCACTCAAAAAGTACGTGATTTGCAATTTCTATGCACTGTCCAGTTTCTAGAGTCGGTGAGAGTAAAAATGTATGTTTCTGACAAGCAAATGTTACCAATATCAATTATTTGCATTAAAAATTGTGAATTTTTTTTATTATTAGAGCTACTTTGTTTTGCTTATTTCATATATTTGCCCGATCAAATTTCTTCAGGCCATTATTTTCAGTCTTCCCTTCATGATACTTTCTTGTATAAATTTCTAGTCTGTTTTAATCAAAACTAATATTATTATTGACACTCTTTACGTGAAACAGTAGTTAGATGCTATGGGTATTATTTCACAATAAACATCCTTCATGAGTTGCTTATAAGAGAAGTAATGCGTGATCGATATAATGTTGGGAAGCAAGTATTTGAAGCATTTTTTAATTGGAAAGCTAATCTTAGAAAATGGGTAAGCTCTCGTTTGTTATGTTTTAAGAACAGCAACAAAGGAAACAAACAAATGTAAAGAAATTACCACTGTGTGTTGTTATGCCACTGCATATTTTAACTACGACTGGAAAACCTCCAGTAGGCCAGGTACTTCTAAAAAAGAATTAAGAAACAAACGCGCATATGTGATTTACCTCACTTTTTCACGGAAAAACACTCCTTCTTCATTACTGTCACAGCGTATACAGGTACAAAAAGGCCATGTTTTTTTTTGTTTTTTTTTTCTAGATGCAGACATCTCTCAGTGACAGAGCAAATAGCTTATCTAAGCCCTATTGAGTCTCCAAATGCTGCTCTGTCTTTCCAGGATTTTATTTGGACCTGCGATATTACCATCAGTGGATACTTTGCTATCGGGCTCGAAAAACCGTTGGAAAACACCTACCTGCTCATCATTCCAGCGTATTACCTCGCCCTTGTGAACCACGAACTGAAAGTAGTAGGCCCCCGGCACGCGCGCTTCGAGGCTTCTGGTGTATTCACAACAATCACCGTGGAGGAAACTGAAATCTACACAACAGACGTGACGGACACTTTAAAAGACAAAATAACAACGATTTCTGGAAGGTCTCGAATTGTCGGATAAATTTTGTTTTAGAAGCAGGCGCGCGCTTTCGACATTATGTAGGGGCGGTTGCACGTCCGCAAGAATAATACAGGTGGCGTCTGTGCTCAGCATCGCAATACATACCCCCATCTAAGCACGCGTCAAAATTTGTTTTGGACTGAAAAGCATTATGTGCATACAGAATGCAAAATTTATGTGACAAAACTTAGCCCGCAATTAAAAATGAACAGAGTGCAAGTATTGATATAATTAAAGACGTGCGTCTGCGCAATCTTGGTTTCTGGATTTGTTATACAAACCAGTGGCATTCTCGATTTATTATTATGTAGACAAAGGAAATGTTTAGTTTTTGTGTTGACGTCTGCTTTCCAACTGGTGCGTGTATATTTCGCCGTATTTATTTGAAAAATGTTTTTCAATGAAAAATGAAAGCGATATCACTTGTGTTTAACAAAGTTACTCATCACCAACATTTGAAAAAAAAAATCCGGTAGACCTCAAAACTGAACAAAAACTATAATCAGAAACGCAACGCCAACCGCTTCTTCATAAGTACGTTGCTACAATAAAAGTTTGAAATTTTTCATTCTACGAGATTTTTGTTTCTTTCAGACAGCTGTCGGCAAGTTTGTTTTCATTTTTTTCTTAACTGCATGCAAGAGTAACTAAGTTGTTCTTTATATGAAGGTTATATGTTGGTGTATGAATTTGTTTAAAATAGGCTGACATAACTCAAACATTGCGGGGCTCAACTCTGAACATGAAAAAACGTGTTCTCGAGGGGATCGCAGTTAGGAAAAGACGTGCATTGTCATGAGAGCTGTAACAGTTGTTGGGCTGGCGGTTTGGAGCGATGGGAAGGGTCTCCTTATCGTTGTATTTATATTCTAGTTTTTCCGTCAACTCTTCACTTCGCTCCCAACCGCTCGTCTTGTTGTATCATTGCTAGTGTTCCTAGATTTCAGAGCGTTTCCAACTGCTGGATAAGGGTAACGTGGTTTATGGGCCGCGTTTGCAGAACGAGCAGCGAGGAGGTGCCGGAAGTGTTAATCGTCTGCAAACGTCTTTGCATTTCCGCCTGCTTTCCTCCTCGCCACGTGAAAACGCAGCGCATGCGCACTAGCGACGAATCTACGCAGGAGGCGTTAGCCATTAAATTGCAAACGTTCTCCATGGCTGGAGCGCACTCTCTCGCTTACGTCTACGCCAGGGTGTAAGATAGACAGGCAGGGAAACGGCCCATAGAAACCTACCGCAGCGCCGTGACCGGATTGTGTACTCGTCTGCTTGCGGGTACCCCCGATTTGCGACAGATGGCGCTGCGGCAAGAGGTAAAAAAGTCGGAATCGAATTTGCATGGAACTCTATGGGAAAGTTCACAAAATAAACCGAGAGCACGACAGTCCTCCATTGAAGATCCACGAGAAACCTTCTCCGTCAGTTTAGCCGGTCGCCACCGGTCGCCCACCCGGAGTGAGAGTTTGCGGTGCTCCACAAAAGATGGCGCCACAGAAAAAGAGAAAACCGATGGGGACACAATCTGGTCGCTCATTTGGCTTTCGTTTCCCCACCTGTCTATCTTACACCCAAGTCTAGGCTCTCCACATCCTTGCTTGTTACGTGGTGACCAAAGTGAAGGAGAGGTGGCCGTGTCGTAAGCTCTTCTGTGGCAGCCTTGACCATGAAGGGGTTGAAACCACCAGAGCCGCTCTTGTTTATAGGCAATGCCGTTGGAAACTGGAAACCCTTTAAACGACGAGTGAAAATATCTGCATAACAGCCACGAATCCGGCCCCCAAATGGGAGGACGGACAGAAGATTACGAAGCTGATGCTGTAGCACGTCGCCGGAGAACAAATCTTGAGAGTTCACAGCAACCGTCAACCTGAATGATGAGCACACCTACACGGCTGTCCTAGACAATTTTTAAAGGATCCGTTCGCCCGAGAATAATTAAACTTTTGAGCGTTGTATATTCAGGATGAGGGGGCGAGCATGAAGGGAAGCCGTTTAGCGATCGACTTTTTCCAAGGAGACTTCTGCGCATGCGCGCTTTTCCGTCAAACAGTGGCGAAAAGCTTGTTCATACTTCGCTTTACATTAATAGTAATAATAATAATAATTTTCATTTCCACATAGGTATTCTAGTATCTGCTGGGCACTGTGCAAGGCTAGAGAGTAAGGTTGGGACCCTTACGCAGGTTCACCTGCTCGCCCGCGCCGATTTAAAATATGTAGTAACTATATTGCATAAATGCATCAAAGAATATACAGCCCAAACACGCACACATACATATATACACACGCACGCGCAGACAGGCAAACTTGCTGTACATCCTGTCATCTTCTGAAGCACCGTGGCCCTCCCTTTGAATACAAGAGGTGGCCATACTTCTAACATAACCCTGGGCACTCCTCTGTGTATTGTGAGAGGGGCTGGCGTTCCCTCAGCGAAACAGAGAGGAACTCCCTGATGGTTGCGGGGATTAGTGTCATTCTGTGTCTTTTTGTACGGGACTGGAATCGTTCAGGTTGGCCGGTGCGTCTGTTCACACGTACGGCTGCGTATAAGTAGTTTCCAGATCGTGAGCCGTTCAACACGCGGCACAAGAGACGCGCACGGGCGATGCTCCGCGCTTACTCGAAGGATCGCAATCCAGCAATCTTCGGCTGGCTCTCGTAGTGCTCCTAGTTAGTTCCTGTAGCTCGTGCGCATAGAGTGAGTTCCACTTCTTTGGACACCCTCGATGCAAGGCGCAAGATAAGGTTGGGAAGGAGACCACACCGCACTACAGTATTCCAGCATGGGCAACACGATCGCTGTGTAGAGCGTACTGAAAGCCAGAAGGCCACATGGCTTGGACACACGAGGGACGAACTCCATAGTGCGACGGGGCTTGGCGACAATTCCAGTGACGTGGACAGACAAGTCGAGCGTTTGTGTAGAAGTGACCCCTATTATTTTTAATGAGTTATGCACGGCACTCGGGACATCACGTAGATGGTACGTAGGATTTTCCACACTGCGTGAACTGCTGAAGCGCTTCCCATAACTTTTGACCGGACTCAGTTTTAGGCGGTTTTGTGTTGCTCAGCACCCAATTTTGGTGAGGTAGTTTCGTAGATGAACGTGCGTGGCAGCTGAATCAAGTATAGCCAAGATTGAAGTGTCGTCCGCATATTGAACGAGAAGAAACTTGTCGTTTTGGGGCATATCGTTAGCAACAATTAGGAATAAGGTGGGGGCTAAGACCGATCTCTGGGGCACACCAGAGTGAACCTTTATGTCGGCTGAGCGTGCACCATGCTAGAAAACTTGTTAACTGCGGTTCCTTAGAAAGGTGACTTGAGGATAAAACACCCCACACCAGCTTTTATCACTTTATTTAAATGGAGGACAGTGCAAGGGTGTTGAAGGCATTACTGAGCCTTGCTGGATAAGGTCCGTCTCCTTGTGATTGTGAAGCTTGTTGCTCACGTATTGAATCAGGTTTGCCAGGGCCGTCTCACAGCTACAGTTAGTGCGAAAGCCGTGCTGCGTCTGTGACAGTTATCTAGTGTGCTCCCGGAAGTCTACAATGCGGGTGTTCACAACAAGCTCGAAGGTGCGGCATATACTATATGTTAGGGAGACTGGCCGATAGTTTCACACGTCATCCGTAAGCTTCCCCTTTCTCTTGTGTATGGGAGTGACGACGGCACGTCGCCAGGTGGGAGGGATGGCACCTTGGTCAAGGAGATCCAGCAGTACTTTCGCCAGCGATGGTAGAGTGTGTTGCGCTATCATCTTGAACAACGAGGGCACCATACTGTTTAGGCTAGGACTTTGAGATTATTTTATTTTGGAGATAGTGGTACACAGTGATTTTTCAGTAAAGACGACTGACGCGAGGAGGGGGCAGTCGCGATCAGTGCATGTGTGTGCACTAGCAGTGGGTGGGAAGGCGGGACCACCGTGCAGCGGCTTTACCGGACTAACGTTCAGATACGAGAAATGGTTTGCACATAGCACCACGACTTCGCCGGGGGCGTCAATCGCTCTTCCGCTTGTGCTGAAACTAGGATGACGGCCAGGTGCTCGAAGACGGCTCGGAGAGAACCAGAATACCTTTGGGTCGTCCCTTGCCTCCTTGGCTATTCCGGCAAAGTAGTGTTGGCGGGCAACGTGAATAGCGGCCTTTAGGGAACGCTGACTATCCTTCGCGATCTGAAGAGCACTGGGAACTTAGTTCGAAATGCTTTCTAGAAAAGTGCTCTCTTTCTCTTTGCTGCCTTCATGAGAATAAGGGTGATCTTTGGAAAGTACTTTCTTCGTGTAGAAGGAGTGCAGGAGGGTACGCATTCCTTCTTTATCGCTTCAGTCAGGTCGCACTAAAAGTCGAAATTGACGAGCGTGTCCTTTCCAGTCGTTGTCATGCACAATGGTGCAGGGTGTTTAAGTGTGTTGGGTGGTAATGTTATTTTTATCAAAGTTCCACAGTGCGCTTGCATGATGTTCCCGGCGAGGCAGCACCACATCGTACGTAATTTAAACCGCGAGGTGGTTGCTGCCGGGCAGTCCTTCAGAGGTCTCCCGTGATATGACCCGGGTAGAGTTAGTCACTAAAAGAAGTTCCAAGAAGCTTGGAGCGCCTTCACGAATTCCGTATGTTCGATCAAAACAAGCCTGCCTAAGCCCGTCCGACGTTGAGATGTCTAGCAGGACGTCGTCCATTTGATCCAGGGGAACTGGGATGCCATGAGTAACCCAATCAATAATGTGCGTTAAAATCACTGAACACAAATACGTTCGCGTAGTTCCTGCTACAGTAGTCTGTAACGCCTTGTCAAGATATCTGTATGATTCTTTCGGCGTCGATGGTGGCCAGTAGACGCAGCATACCAAAGTTATGCTGCGGGGCAGGCGGAGCTCTACGAAAAAGGCTCCAAGGGCATGGTGTTCAAGGTCCATGCGCCTGGCCACTAGTGCAAGGCCGGGAAAGCAAACAGTACGCCACCGCCCCGGGTGCCCCAATATC